CGCGTGTGTGGGTCTCACACCGGGTCTCACGCACGTGCACAGAGGGGCTCGGCCGCGCTCTGACCAATCAGAGCAGTTCATCAGAGCGGGAGTTAGAGCGAGAGCCAGACGAGCAGAGTTTGTGGCACTAAAGTGTGGATTTAAACAAAACCGAAGGATTTAAGAAGAAAAAAAGTTCAAGATGACAAGGGACACTTAACTGCGACCTTTATGAAGGCTGTAGGTTCTCTGTCAGGTTCTCTGTCAGCTGAGGTCGAGCTGTTTTAATATGCATTGAGTTCTATGGGGAACATTTCTGGGTAGCCCACGTGAATTGTCTGGTTCAGTCTGCAGTGCCGCAAGAATCCCCCGAGCACATGAGTTATTCAGCTACAAGCTAGTAATACCCTATCCAGTTAATATAATAGATCCATGGATAGGCTGAGGATGCGAGGCCGGCCTGGAAGGGGTGGCTTTAGCCGTCAGTCTTCCAGAGTTGAATTTCCGCGAGGCTGCATTTGTCGGCTCGCACTTATCTTAGCAGAGTATGTGGTTCACGAGTAGTCCACACAAACTATTATGAAACATTACAGACAGTATGGGCCAGAGAACTGTAGAGCAGTAAGATGTTTGTCCTCATGTCTCTGTGGTTGCTGTGGTCCATAGACTGTTATATTAACTGTGGTCAGACTCTCTGGACTGCGTGAAGCGGAGAGACCGTTATTATAATAGATCCATGGGGGAGACCTGCGGCCTTATGTGAGATGTCAGAAAAAATAGTATTTTACAGATATTACTTATCCCGTGTGAATGCACTGCAAAATCTCAGACGTTCTCCGTGATTATCACAGATGATCAGGGGTCCAGAGGTAACACTGATCCGTGCGAGTAAACAAACTAGTTTCACTTCCGGGTAATCGATTGACACCGAAATGTATTGAATACATAATGAAAAAAGGTTAATTATTGCATTTTCTAGTTCCCAAATCCGGTTATTATAATATATATATATATATATATATATGTCTTATAAGCAAAGAAAAAAACCAAAATGGTCATTTTTGTATATTGCTGTGTGCCTGAAAATGCAAATGAAAAAAACGCAAAAGTACACGGACCGTATATGTTGAATTGAACACTTTGATTACTTTCAATACTTTTTTATATTTTGAAATGAGTAATTTGAATATTTTGAACTTAACTTTTAGGATATTAAAAATTGAATACTTTAAATGTAATACTTTGATTTCAAAATGTTGATTACTTATAATACTTTGTATATGTTGAATTGAATACTTTGATTACTTTAAATACTTTGAAATTTTTGAAATGAATACTTTTAATATGTTGAATTGAACACTTTAATACTTTGAATATTTCTAATTGAAAACTTTGTATATTTTGAGTTGAATATTTGAATATTTTATATTGGATACTTTGAAATGAACACTAAGTATATATATATTTTTTTATTCTTTGAATCACCATGGTGGTGAATGGTGTGAAAAGGAAGATGGCGCCAGCAGTGTGCACGGCGCAGCATCTCTCTGTTCTGATTTGGTTACTGTTTGCACAGATTGCCAATTTAAGTTATCAAAGTGTTTCAGCACTGCTTGTTTATGATCGCCAGTCGTTATTTTCTATCCGTGACCAACACGAGTTGTTTCTAAAGCAAAATTCTGCCTCCTCACCCCCCGTATCACCTCCTCACCGACCCAGCCCCAGCTCTCCCCCTCAGTCAATCCCTGTCATCTCCAGACCCCGACCCCACAGGACCTCCTCCAGAGAACTCTCCCTCCCCTGTCTCATCCCGGTTCCCCTTTGCTCCTCTACAGCCCTCACTCCGGACCCTGCACCTACAATCTTTGGACTTCTAAACATCAGATCCATCAACAATAAATCCTTCATCTGTCAGGACTTCATCACATACAACAACCTGGACTTCATGATTTTAACAGAAACATGGCAAGTGCAAGGCGACTGCACCCCCCTCATTGAAGCGACCCCCCCGGACTACACCTTCCTCCACCAACCAAGACTCTGCGGTAAGGGAGGGGGGGTTGCAGCCATCTTTAAGAACACTTTTAAATGCACTCCTGGATCACAAAATGTTTTTACTTCATTTGAACACCTGTCTCTTATCATTTCATGTAAAACCCCAGTGTTTGTTTTAATTATTTATAGACCCCCTAAACCCAGCACTGTTTTTATTCAAGAATTCTCTGATCTTTTATCCCAGTGTATGGCCCTCCACAACAAAGTTTTAATCTTAGGTGATTTTAACATTCATGTCTGCTGCCCACATAAACCACACCCTTTAACCTCTGATTTTATTGATCTAATTGAGTCTTTTAATCTTCTTCAAATTATAAATGCTCCGACCCATTCTAAGGGCCATACACTGGACCTGGTTTTAACGTTTGGTCTCAGCGCAGGAAATGTCATCACCAAGGATATCTGTGTGTCGGACCACTTAGCTATTTTATTCGACGTTATTTTAGCCCTCAGTCTGCCTCCAATGGGTCATTTTATCACTCTCGTGTTTTTAACTCCACCTCTGCTCTTAAATTTTCCCAACTTTTTACTGCAGCCTCCTTGACTACTTTTAACCAACATTTTAGCCTGGAGGAGCAGGTCTCCTCCTTTTATCAAACATCACATAGGATTTTAGACACGATTGCACCTTTTAAACAAAGAAACCCCACCAGAACACCACAACCATGGCTCAATGAAAACACTCGAAAGCTCTTTACAGTCATGCAGACAGCTCGAACGGAAATGGAAAAAATCACACCTTACAGCATTTCACCTCGCCTGGAAAGACAGTCTCAAACAATATCAACACGTAGTCAAGGAAGCAAGAACTTTATTTTATTCAAACACTATCACCCAAAACAAATCGAATCCCAGAGTTTTATTTAAAGTTTTAAACTCTATTATAAATCCCAGTCCCTGTGTTTTTAGTGATTCATCCACTGAACAGTGTGAATTATTTTTAAACCATTTTATTCAAAAGATAACAGATATCCGGACCCAAATATCTGCTCCTAGCCAAGCCACTGTTTTAAATAGAGAAACTCTGGATTTTAGTTGTTTTACAAATTTTATGCCTTTATCCCTTTCTCTTTTATCTGACATTTTATTCCGCATGAAACCAACCACGTGCAGCCTCGATGTCATCCCCACCAAATTTCTCAAAGATGTTTTTAATGTGGTTGGACCCTCCATTTTATCAATCCTTAATCAGTCCCTGGATCAAGGTCTTGTCCCATCCAGTTTTAAACATGCTGTGGTCCAACCACTTTTAAAGAAGCCTAATTTAAGCACTACAGATTTTAACAATTTTAGACCCATTTCTAAACTCCCGTTTTTATCTAAGGTTTTAGAGAAAATTGTTTCTATTCAGATTTTAGATTTTATTAACAATAACCACATCTTTGAGAAATTCCAATCCGGTTTTAAAGCACAACACAGTACTGAGACAGCTCTCCTTAGAGTTTTAAATGACCTTCTTTTAACCACGGACAGCGGAGAGCGCTCTATTTTAATTCTTTTAGATTTAAGCTCTGCCTTCGACACTATAGACCACGATATTTTATTGGATCGCCTCAAAACGTGGGTTGGCATCAGAGATACTGCACTTGGTTGGTTTCATTCTTATCTTTTAGAAAGAACCTTTGCGGTCACCATGGGTGATTTTACCTCCTCAACAGCCCCCATCACCTGTGGTGTGCCGCAAGGTTCTATTTTAGGCCCCATTTTATTCTCTATTTATATGCTCCCCCTAGGACACGTTATGGCCCGTCATAACGTGTCCTTCCACTGCTATGCGGACGACACACAGATCTACCTCCCGCTGAGACCAAACGACCCTGGAAGTCTGGCTGCTGTGGTCGACTGTTTTAATGATGTGAACCGTTGGATGGCCCATAACTTCCTTCAACTCAACACCTCCAAATCAGAAGTCCTCCTCATCAACCCGCCTCCATCCATATCCCACATCCAAACCCACCTCGGCCCCCTGTCCTCAAACATCACTCCCTCCGCCCGTAACCTCGGTGTCATTTTTGATTCTCACCTCACCTTCCGCTCCCACATCAATAAAACCACCCAAACCTGCTTCTATCACCTCCGCACCATCTCTAAGATTAAAAACATTCTCACTCCTCCCGATCTCCATAAAGTCGTCAACGCCCTCATCTTCTCCCGCCTCGATTACTGTAACTCCCTCCTCTCCGGTCTTGATGCTAAATCCCTCTCCCGCCTCCAACTGGTTCAGAACGCAGCAGCCAGACTTCTCACTGGTTTTAACAGAAGGGAGCACATCACCCCTGTTTTAGCGTCCCTCCACTGGCTCCCTGTGCGATTTAGAATTGATTTTAAGATTTTACTGATTACTTTTAAAGCTCGTTTAGGTCTGGCACCAAGCTATATTTATGAACTTTTAACCCCCTACGAGCCCCCCCGCAGCCTTAGATCCTCGGGCAGGTCCTTGCTGACCATTCCAAGGTCGAGGCTCCGGACGAAAGGTGATCGAGCCTTTTCTGTCCGGGCTCCTCGGCTTTGGAACGACCTGCCCGAGGAGATAAGGCTTGCACCATCAGTATCCTCTTTTAAATCTCTTCTTAAAACCCACTTTTATAAAACAGCTTTTAATTGTCAGCTTTAAACTTATAATGTTGTATTTTACTGTCGGTCCTGTCTGTTTTGTGGTCTTGTGTTTCCTCTGTTTGTCTTGTCTTCTTGCATTCATTCTTATTGTTTTAACTTTGTATTATGACTGATGTATTGTTTATTATGCTGTGCAGCACTTTGTAAACATTGTTTTTGAAAAGTGCTTTATAAATAAAGATTTATTATTATTATTATTATAAAATTATGGAAACCGATCCTCGGGTGGCCTTCCCCCCCCTCTCTCCTTGGCTCTGCCCCCGTACCTGCACCGCTCCTGTGCTCTCCCAAGGAAGCGCCACAGGAAACGGGGAAAGAGAGGTGGCACTGCCGTAAGAGTAAGAGCCTACCTTCGCTCCCAGCGCGGGCGTGCTCCTCCAGTACAGTTTGGCGATGTCCACCAGGATGTCTGCCCTTTCCCGGACCGTTTGTGGCGGTGGATTCTCCCGGTTCATCCCGACAATACCGTGGATGGATACGTAACAGAGGAGTACTATATCCACCGGCTTCCCAGACCAACAGAGCGCCGCGCTGTCCCAGCTAACCTGCGCTCGTTAGCTCGGGCCCAGCCTTGTGAGGATAATCCAACTCTTCAGCTGGCCCTGTTCAATGTTAGATCCCTGGCGAACAAGACTTTTGTATTGAATGACTTCTTCACAAACCGGGATTTGGACTGTATGCTTCTGACTGAAACCTGGCTTCGACCTGGTGAGTGTATCGCTTTCTCAGAACTTCTCCCTCCAGCATGCTCCTTCTTTAGCTCCCCTCGCACAACAGGGAAAGGCGGAGGATTAGCTACTGTTTTTAAAAACAATCTGAACTGTCGGAAGCTCCCCTGTGCGCAATTTGAAAGTTTTGAATTGCAGCTCTTTGAGCTAAGACTGAATGCACTGATCCTGTGCGCACTAATATATCGCCCGCCTAAGTCCAACAAGGATTTTATAAAGGAATTTTCGAGCCTTGTGGCGGACATCGCTCTGAAATGGGACTATTTTATACTCGCTGGTGACTTTAATGTTCATTTCACTTTGGAAAGACCCAAGAGGAAAATGCAGTTAGAAGTTATTTATTGAGTATGTTTGGCGCCCTAGGCCCGGGAGAGATGCTGATGAGTGCGGCGCTTGCTCGCGCGCATAATCCCCCCGGGGCCTAAGCACTGGTGGCGGTAGAGGCAGTAGGCGAGCCCGCTTCGAAGAGAGAAGGAGGAGGTGGGGCGGCGGAGGCTTTGCTGGCTTCGGAAGGCCGGAAAGTGGGCGTCTCCGGCTTTTAACTTGCTGTCCTGGTGGTTATTGGTGGATTGGATGTGGGCGTTTGCTGGTGTAATGAGTTGAGGAAGAGCAGCTTGTAGATCTGGCAGCAGCGGCCGGGTCTACCACAGTGAACTTCCGCGAAGAGCTTCATTTCACTTTGGAAAGACCCAAGAGGAAAATGCAGTTAGAAGTTATTTATTGAGTATGTTTGGCGCCCTAGGCCCGGGAGAGATGCTGATGAGTGCGGCGCTTGCTCGCGCGCATAATCCCCAAAACGGGCAGAGTTATCTTTGCGTGCCGGGGCGTGAGCGCTCGCATCACGATCCCCGGACGCGGCCTGGGACGTGAGCGCTCGCATCACGATCGATACCAGACGCTGTAGAAAACTGTCTTTGAGCGCCGGGACGTGAGCGCTCGCATCACGATCACCGGACGCTGTCTGGGACGTGAGCGCTCGCATCACGATCGATACCAGACGCAGTAGCAAGTTGTCTTTGAGCGCCGGGACGTGAGCGCTCGCATCACGATCACCGGACGCTGTCTGGGACGTGAGCGCTCGCATCACGATCGATACCAGACGCTGTAGCAAGTTGTCTTTGAGCGCCGGGACGTGAGCGCTCGCATCACGATCACCGGACGCTGTCTGGGACGTGAGCGCTCGCATCACGATCGATACCAGACGCAGTAGCAGTTTGTCTTTGAGCGCCGGGACGTGAGCGCTTGCATCACGATCAACCGGACGCTGTCTGGGACGTGAGCGCTCGCATCACGATCGATACCAGACGCTGTGCAAGTTATCTTTAAAGTGCGTGCCGCCACCAGAATCCTATTGGTTCACTTACTTGCTTGTATTGCTTTGCTGGGAGTTTACGAGGAAGCCAGAAGACGTTGAGCAGCCAGGATAGCGGACGCGTCTGGCCTGATGTAGGCGGAGAAGGCCGAAGAGGACCAGCGCCCCAGTTGTTGCAGAGAGGTGTGGGGGAGCCCCAGCGAGGCCGCGCGCGTGGCAGCGCCTATCCGGAAAGAGTGTGCCGTGTAGAGCTGGGGAGATAATTTACAGAGGAGCAGTAGGGATCTTAGTTGCGCTCTGAACCAGGTTGCTGTCATGGGAAGAATGTCTGGAGTGAGAAAGAGAGGTCCGTTAAAGTCTCCTTTTTTGTAGCGGAGGCGAGTGTAGCGCATCATGGATTTGTAGGGGCAGAGAGATGTGTCAGAGCGAGCTATTACTATATTGCAGGCTCCTTTGATTTTTGAATGTTTGAGACGGAGGTTGAAATGGTCAGGGTAATAGGCCAAATCGGAGAAAGCAATGTCTAGGGCCGCATTGAACGTAGAATGAGCAGTGGTGAACTCGCTTATGCGGAGAAAGCCATAAAAGGCGAGCAGAAAGGCGCAGCGAAGGAGAGCAGACGTGTACTTGGAAAAAGAGCCGGAGTTCAGTGTGGTGCAGAGCTGTTCCAGGATGGGCAGCGTGATGGGGAGCCGGTGGTCAGAAGAGTGGGGAGCACATTTGTTGATGCCTTTGAAGAGGAGTTTAATTGAGGGTTCAGAGAATAGAGAGGAGAAGGCGGGGTTGTGGCAGCGGGCCTGAAACTGAATGCCAGAGAGCAGCGTGCGAATGTAGGTTGTTTTGTGATGGAGATTGTCTGAGCAGTGAACTATGAAGGCTATGACAGTGGATACGGATGGAGGTAGTGCAGGGATGTTGTGAGCGTGGCAGAAAAGGGAATAGGTTTTCCAAGCGGAGCTGTATGTAGATAGAGTAGAGGGGGAGAGGCCCTTTTTCATATAGGAAGAAGCAGAGGAGAGGAGGAGAGAGAGGGAAGGTGAGACTAGTCCAGGGTTAGTTGGTCCATGGTGGGGACCGCGCGTGGCTCCGTGCAGGCTGAGGGGCAGAGGCGCCGGAACTCCTGAAATTTAAAACGAGACAGACAGTCAGCGATTTGATTAAGGTGACCGGGGACGTGGCGTGCAGTGATTATAAAATTATTCAAAACAGAGAACCAAGTAATGCGTCTGAGAAAAGACATAATGTTAGGCGAAGAAGAGCGGCCTTTATTTAGTGCTTCCACCACGTCGAGATTGTCAAACATTACGGAGATCCTTTTTCTCCGCCACGTATGACTCCAGAGCGCGCAGGCCACGACCACGGGGTAGATTTCGTGTAAGGCCGAGGAGATGCTCCGGGAAAAGTAGCGGGCCACGGCCCGGCGAACCACTGGTCCTGATAGAATCCCCCAAAACCCACGGAAGGGGCAGCGTCCGTGTAGAAGCGGAGATCATCGGAGGACCGGACGATATCGTCATAGAAGAACGAAATGCCGTTCCAGCGGTCCAGCAGCCGCGACCAGAAGTCCAGGTCGGAGCGGCACCCGTCGTCCAGGGTGAGCGTGTCGTGCAGGGAGGGAACCGAACCTGCGAGGGTGAGAAGACGTGAAATAAAAGAGCGGCCCTGGGGAATGATGCGGATGGCATAATTGAGGTGTCCGAGCAGAGAGAGCAGCTCGCGTTTCGTGATGGAGGGAGAAGAAAGGGCAGATTGCGACACAGCACGCACGCGCAGGAGCTTCTCCAGCGGGAGGGAGGCCTCCATGGCGCGTGTGTCGAGGCGGATGCCGAGGAACTCCAGGGCGGTGGCAGGGCCCACGGTCTTCTCCTCGGACAGGGGGACCCCGAAAGCCGAGAAGGCCGACTTCAGCCTACGGAGCGAGTCCCCGGAGCCGTCCGCGGGGGGGTCGACGAGGAGAAAGTCATCTAGGAGATGGAGGACAGAAGGGAGATGGAGGTCGTTCAACAAAATCCAGCACAAGGCCTCAGAAAGGTTATTAAACAAGGAAGGACTGCTCCTGCAGCCAAACGTGAGGCGCGCAGCAAAGTAGAAGCCGGAACGCCACTTTACTCCGAACAGGTGCCAGTGGTTGGGGTGAATGGGCAGCAGCTTGAAGGCGTCCGTAATGTCCGCTTTAGACAGCCAGGCCCCAGGGCCGAAGGCCTTCACCAGCCGGATTGCGTGATCCACGGTGGCGTACTGCAAAGAGAAGGGCTCAAGAGGGATGAGACTGTTAATGCTCGGAACGGGCCCGGAGCGGGGGTGGGACAAATCAAATATAAGGCGCTTCTTCCCGGAATACTTGCGTGTGGCAACCCCCAGCGGGCTGGAGCGAAACGGGAAAAAAGGGGGCCTGGAAAAGGGGCCGATGATGTAGCCCTTGTGCACCTCCCGTGCGAGGAGCTGCGTGACCACGAGAGGCTCACGGATAGCGGATTGTAGGTTACGGGACACGTAGGACGCCGAGGGGAGAGCCGCTACTCCGACATGGAAGCCCCGGGCCAGGCCTGTGAGGAGAAAGTCAACGAAAGCCCGGTCAGGATGGGGCGCGAGCGCGCGGGCCAGCGCGGGCACGGAGACTGGGGTTGAGAGGTGGGTGGAAATCAAGGCCTGTACGAAGGCCCCCCGGAACTGCGGCCCGGGCGGGGGCGACGGGGGCACACGAAACGTGGATGGGCTTCCCTGCACACACAGCAAACGTGGAGAAAATTGCACGATGATAAAGTACACGTGCCCGCATTGAACAGACGGCACACAGCGGTCTGATCATGTACCTCTGTTTTAGGAAATGAAGGCGCGCGGGGCCTAGGAGACTGACCAGCGGCGACGTCGAACGGGACGGAGGGGCAGAGGGGAGAGCTGTGGCCGGTCGCGCCGCACCGGGAGCAGGAGACCGCGGGGGCACTTCCAACGGACAGTAGCAAAACCTCCGTATCCAGGACCGCCCAGTCCACTCTGACGTTAGCCTGGGATACGAGGGCCGCGGCCTTGGCGGCGAAGGCCCGATGGTAACGATAGAAATGAGAGCCGCCGTAGCGGAGGGCCAGGTCCCCCATTAGGCCCAGATAAGCGTCCAGCTCGGGCCTGCGCTCGGGGTACACGGAGCACAGGACGTCCCGGTACACGCCGAAGGCCACGAGAAACTCCCCGATGGATAGATCCCGCGAGAGGCGGGGATCAGCAGTCTTTACGACCGCAGTGACCAGGGAGGAAGCCGCCACCTGCCTGTCACACTCGGGGGAGGGGAGGATGAGGGAGACCAGATTAATGTAGCGGCCCAGCAGTATTTTTGACCGCAGCCGCGGGGAAACATTTGAGTATGCGTTGATGAAGGGCCTACCAGACGCCGTAGCCGCCACGGCCGTGGAGAGGGTGA